TCCTACAGTAGGTAATGGATGTGAACACAATGCATCTTTAATCAATCAATTCTCAGCTTACTTTCCAATATCTTAGCTTGCACGCAATTATCTGAATTTTTAAATTTATTTTTAGTCGATGCATTAATATTTAACATAATGTGCATGCTGTGTGCTTAAATGCTTATTCTGACCTTCAAGTAGTGCAGAACCTAACTGTTCTGGCAAAAATACTCTGAGTATTTGGAGATCGTTGATGCACTTTCGTGGAATGTATGTCATGTTGTTAAGCATCCCAATACAGAGCAGGTTGTGTTTTTAAAAGAAACCTAAAATGGTAGATTTTTGCGGAAACTTGAACATTTGTGAAATACAGAAGTCAACTTTCACTCATGATATCTTAATGTTCTTCTTTTCTCAGCTATCTAAATGCATTTGCAGTGTGCCTGTGCATTTGAACAACGAACTCTCTCTTTGAGTTACTTAATGATTTAATTTCTTTTTGACGAGATAAAGTTTTGCAAAATCTCAAATCTATTGTTAATCGGACAATATCCAAACAAACACTGCAGGATGGCAACCACTGTATCAAAAATAAATTGGAACTTTTTTTAAGAATAAGCTGACTTTTTTACCCTTGTATCACAGGGATGAGGGATTTGACTTGTATGGTGAGCCTAAACTGCTCTCTTCTAAAGAAGAGCACATGAAAGGGAAATTTAATATTTAACTTAAAATTATGAAGGATTTTGATGGAATAAGTAAGGAGTTTTATTTTGCATTGGTAAGGGGATTATTCCTTGAGGATGCAGATTAAAGATAAATGGCAAAAGAACTAAAGGGGAAGTGGAGAATTGAAAAAAAAGATGGAGCTGAATGCATTGTTTGAAAAGGTGGTGAAATTTCCATAGTGAATAAGGTATATGTTTAAAAAGGAAAATTTGCAGGGCTGTGGGTGAAGAACAGGCAAGTGAAGCTAATTGGAGAACTCTCTCAAACCAGATGGGTTGTAAGACTCATTCTTTTTTAATGAATAGCCTGCTAAATCTTCTCTATTGTTACATTTAGATCTGTGTTCCCAGCAATGATCAACTTCCAGTGTAAGTGTGCCAAGCCAGGGGAGACATGCAAAACAAATAAAACTGCTTCAAAGTCAAACAGAACTGGCGGCATGTCTTAGTAAAGTGAAATTAGAAGGGGTATTAGAAGAGCATTCTTTGGGGTAACGAGGTGTAGAGCTGGATGAACACAGCAGGCCAAGCAGCATCAGAGGAGTGAGAAAGCTGACATTTCAGGTCTGGACCCTTCTTCAGAAATGGGGGAGGGAAAGGGGATTCTGAAATAAATTAGGGAGAGAGGGGGAGGCGAATGGAAGATGGATAAAGGAGCAGATAGGTGGAGAGGAGACAGACAGGTCAAAGAGACGGGGATGGAGCCAGTAAAGGTGAGTGTAGGTGGGGAGTTAGGGTAGGGGTTGGTCAGTCCAGGGAAG